GTTCTGTTGTGTTCTTATAAATTAAACATGTTGAAATATAAACAAGGAAACTTTCATTAAAATACTCTTGCTAAATATAAACTGACCCTTTACTAGTAACAATCTCTTGTTTGTGTTGGAAGAAGAATGATTTTTATCTTCAAATGCAAAGACTGGTAGGCTTCAGATTTAACTTTTAAAGTCATCGCAAAAGTTAAGGCTAACTGCAAATTAGGGGAACAGTCCACAAGACAACCCCCACTTAACACCAATTGCAAATTTGGGGGGTTCACTCAAGTTTGATAATTTTCTAGAAAGACTCATAGAATTGACTGAGAGCTGTTGTACTCATGGCTACTGTTTATTACAATGAAAGGCTCGATTAAAATCACTGAGGGAGGAGGCATGCAGGGCAAGGTCCAGGAAAGTAGTACCACATGCAGTTCCCACTGTCCTCTCTACATGCAGTCAGGACAGCATCGCTCTCCCAGTGTCGACATGTGGAAACACACATGGAGGTATGATTGTCTGCATGGCTGATCTCAGTCTCTAGCCTCCAGGCCCTCAGGAGGTCGACTGATGCCACGTGACCCAAAGCTCACAACAAGGAGGTTCTGCACTGTGGCCTGTGGACTGGCTCATCATACTGTCACTACTGGAGTGTCCAGGTCCCATCCTAAGGCTACCCAGTGTGAGCCAGGGCCCCAGGCAGATGAAGACAGTCCTATCAGATATGACATCCCCAGGTCTCAGAGATCAACTCCCAGAAGCTGAGAACAAAGGTCAGAGCTTTTTTTATAGCAAAGTTAAGTTCTTTACTACACAGTCATAAAATCAGTTGTATGATCAGTACAGTTGTGTCTTTTATATTCAAGAAATGTGTTTGGCTACTCTGAATATGTTTGAAACCTTTAGCCTTTAAAACTAAAAACTATATGTTTTGCCTATTTTTAAATAAAAAATCATTACTTTTTTTTCCTTCAGTGATAGCAAATGAAAATAAAACTCATTTTAAGTTTTTCTTGGGGATGAAAATGAATGAGAGAAAGAAGGAAGAGAGGGAGGCAGGTCACCTGTGTGCTCCTACATTCATCTTGCGTTTTAACAGCATCACTACCAACAGATCTTATTCTCTTCTTTAAAACGGGGAAATGCCACAGATTGAAAGATTAAAGAGAGACACAACTGTATGCAACATGGGATCTCGGACTGGATGCTGGACCAGAAAATGAACACAAGGGGCAAGCTGGTTAAACCCAAATAAGGTCAGTAATTTACTATTAATTATTATCATTGTGTATTATACCAATGTTAATCTCCTGGTTTTAATTATTACACAGTATTATAATTCTGGGAGTTGTTAATATTAGGGGAATCTGAGTGAAAGATACATGTGAACTCTGTGTTGTTTTTTAAACTTTTCTGTAAGTCTAAAATCATTTCAAAAAAAAAGTTTAAAGTGATCTATCTCTGCTTATTCAAGGAACTTCTAAGACCGTTGTTTTAATCTTTTTGGAGGTCAACCAGCTCTTTGATGAAAAGTGTATACCGTCTGCCCTGCAGAGTCTCCAGGTCCACTTTTGCCGTCACATGTTCACAGGCCCATGCAGAGCCCGTCCACAGACTGCAGTGCAGAACCTCCCCATCGTGAACCAAGCAGAACCATAAGTACATCCTTCCAGGATCCTAGCTGCAGCCCCACTAAGTGACAGCAAACAGGATCATGAGCTGTGCACAGCAGAGCCTCGGCAGGAAATGCCAGCCTGGCCCACGGCAGAACCTCCCCATCGTGAACCAAGCAGAACCATAAGTACATCCTTCCAGGATCCTAGCTGCAGACCCACTAAGTGACAGCAAACAGGATCATGAGCTGTGCACAGCAGAGCCTCGGCAGGAAATGCCAGCCTGGCCCACGGCACTGGCAGTAGACACAGACACATGCTGAGTGTGGGCCATCTGCCCCCACCTCCCACTCTGGTTTACAAGCAACTCCCTCAGAACGTTAAAGGACACAGCTAGCTAAATGGCAGAAATAAGTGGCAAGAATAAACATCTGTCTAAAGCCAGCACGAATAGCTTTCTTAAGAATGATTTCAATTCAAATAGCTGTGGGAGTGATGAGGGGACAAAAGTGACAGCGTACACACTGGGCTCACGATGGCCACGTGCTTAGTGCCGTGGATTATGAATCAAGTGAGATCAAACGCAAGACACAGAGGCAGCTCCAGAGAGCAGGAACACCTGGCCACAGAGCTGGCAAACCACGACACACTTGGATGGCGCTAGCCCAGTGTCCGACAACCTGTCCAGACAATGGCAGGAAAGCACAGATGCCTTTATGCTGGTGGGTCTGGCTACCCAAGCCCCACCTCCGAGCAACGAGGGACCTGAGAGAGAGCCAACATCCTCCCAGGTACTGGCTCCATGCTGGACAGAGTGGGAGGAGAGTTTGGAGGGGATGAGAAGACTGGTTGGGGGCGGGGGGAGTGGTAAACATGGTTGTTATCAGGTGCCTAAAGAGGCCTGCAATTCTGACAGCGACTGGAGTCAAAGCAGACCTGAGGCATGCCAGAGACTGTTCTGATCAACTCTTCCAGGAGGGCAGATCCTTATTCTACCCCTCTAGGCCTAAACACTGTTCAGAACCACAGCAGCAAGTGCAGGCTCAAGCTGCCCTAGAGCTTCACCGTGTCATGGGAGCTTCCGGGGTAGCCACTCCTTTCAAAGAAACCAAGAGTCCTTTCCTAGTCAATAATCCACCTCAGAAACCTGGACCCTAAAGCTTTCATTCCACGTTGAAAAAGCAATATTTAGGCAACGTATCGCCACACATGCAATCAGAATGATTGTCTCAGTGCCCGTGTGGACGAGCATGGCCATCTCCCTAGTCCCCTCTGCAGTCTCTGCCATTCAGTAGTTAGGGGAAAAATCTTTGTTTCAACTGGCAGTTTTTTAAATGAATAGTGAATCCAAGAATTTCTCTTTAAATTTTTGGTTGTGAGTTACTGTCCTTTACCACATTTCTATTTAAATGTTGTCTTTTTCTATTGGTTTGTTTGGTGTCATAAAATATGACAGCTACTAATACAGGGTACTTCAAAAAGTTCGCGAAAAAATAGAACTAAAAGATAATATGAATCTTGCCATGAGCTTTTTGAAGCGCACTTGTATTTTCCCAACTTGTTGTGTGTTATCTTCATCTAGTGGTGTTCTGGCCACACAGAAGTGTTGTATTTTAATCTTTTTTCTTTATTGTTCTGCCTCTGTTACCATGGTTAGGAAGGCCTTTCCTATGCCGAGATCATAAAAACTTTAATCCATGTGTTCTTGATCTTTTATGAATGTGTTATACATTTTACATTTAATCCATCTGGAGGTTAACTCAGGACAGGAGTTAGGTGAACGTTTATTTTTTTCCCCAGATGGCTAGCCTTTTGTCATAACACCATTTACTGAATTATCTGTCCTTCCCCTAATGTTCCGAGAGGTCTGCGCAGTGGGGAGACAGCTCTCTGGCCCTTCTGCAATTCTACACTGTTGACAAGGACTTCCACTTTGCCCTTCCTCCTGGCGAGTATCTGCCTTAAGGCTAAGGATGGGCCCCATTGAGTGTCTGGGTAAGGACTAGCAAATGTCTGTCTGGGGACAGTTGGGTCTCATCCGGGTCTCATCAACCCAATACTAACTGCCTGCTCCCCGACGTTATGTTCAATGTATCCACTTTCCTGGAACCCCCTTTAGGGAATTTACACAGATTCATGTGAGAAACGACTACAGTCCCCTTTCACAGCCACATTTTCCCATGAAAGCTTTGTCGTCTCATTTCTCTGCAGGACCTGAAACTTGTCCTAACAACCAGAAGTGGTCCCAACCTCAACAGAGATATGCCCTAGAGTGAGTTCACCTGGCGCTGTTGATCAGTCTTGGGAGAGGAGGGGGCTGAGACAGGCCACACCACTCCAATCATACACAAGGACTGGGCCTTTGCTGTGTGCCACCTGGGCTTTGGAACATGAGTGTTGTGATTGCTCCAGAAGTAAAGAAAGAGAAATCATTGTGCCCCATCTCCCTGTGCCCCCATCCCTTCCTCTGACTCCAGAAGGAGTGAGGGGAGAAGGCACCCTAGGGAGCTCTGCAGTGGTGCCGAGGGGCCCTTGAGGAGTGGCCCACTTCAGGGCAGTTTACACACTGAAACTTGGCTGTGCGATCAATCGTTGCTGGCCCAGGTGAGGAAGGTGTGGAGCTAGGGCTAGGGTCTGGAACTCACAGACCCCTCGAGCCCGTTCACTAACCCTTCACACGCAGGTTTATGAGCTAGGTAACCGGCAAAAAGGTCCTTGGAGTCTTGATTGAAAACGTCCCTGGAGTCTTGGTTGAAGAAGGAATAATCTTCATTCAGCCCACACATGTCTAATAGCTAAACAGTACAGAGAAAACTCAGAAATTCAACTGCTACCGGCAAAGTCCAAAGAAAAACTGAGCAGCTGCCAGCAGAGTAAACATGCTCTATTTTTAGATGCATGCCCTCTGCCAGCCAGCTCTGCTAACTTAAGAACACACAATAGCTATTAACTAAAAAGATACACGGTGCACATGCGCACTAACTCCACCCCTCCACACAACTTGTTTCCAAAGAAATGAGAATGTGCTGCTCCACCCCCAACCAGACCTGAGCTGAGGGAGCCTGACTAAATTATCCTATTTTCCCCACAGAAGGTGGTGTGTTTGTCTTCCTGACTGGTCTGCCAGCTCCTTTCCTAAGGAGCAGGGAGTGTGTCCTGTTCACATTTGTGTCGCCAACACAGCACAACACCTGACACTTAAAATGGGTTCAACACATATACGTTGAATGAAATTAAGTAACAATGTATTATTGGCAATAGTAATAACTAACATTTAGCAATCAATTTATTATTTACATGCCGCTTTTGCATACTGTGTGAAGTTAAATGTTTTGTTTAACAGATGTGCGGCTTTTGAATAGAAAACAAGGACAGCAAGAGGAAAGATTCCTTAGGAAGTCCTTTATTCAACAGGATAGATAAGTCTACTAGGGAGACAGCTCTGGAGGTGGGATCCTGGGGGGCATGGCCAGAGCTCCGGGATGAGGCCAGGATCCAATAAAAGGATTTGAAGGAGGCATAAGGCATTTTAAAGAGCCTTTATTTCACGGGTGTTCAAAAGCAACCATTCCCCCCTCCCAGTATCACACAACAGGGCCAAGGACAGATGCCTGTCTTGTGCTTCTAAGAAGCCCCATGAAAGAGGGTTCTTGCCCCATGGACTCAGTGATTTTCAGGACTTACAATTACCAACCCTTCAGTAACATCTTCAGTTAAGAAAAATTTAATCATTACCCTAGGAAATACTGTCTTCTCTCCTTAATGCAGAGTCCCATGCAGAAGGATTTTTTTCTGCCTTCATTCACATACCTCCCTTTGCTCTGAAGTTGTAAGCTAAGAAGTCGCCTGGCCTGGACCCTCGCCCTGTCGAGAAGCCTTCACCTGGCTCCTGTCGCTGTCTGTCACCTGACCCCATGCCTGGACTCCCACCAGATGAGAAGCCCGCCCACAGTGCGTCAGCGACAGCGAGTCGGTGGTGGAGCCTACAGCAAGTTCTAGACAACTCCGAGGACTGAGCTCTCGACCATCACTCCTGGTGAGGATTCTTATTAAATGAATCCGAAGGGTGTTCCAAATGTTCTGTTCGAAATTTGCTCCCTGCTTCGGAACACTTAGTCTTTTCTCCTGCAGTGGCTCAACACATAGCCTCCGAGCACGCAAGGCTTTACCAGCTGCTCTCTCGCCAACACTGCAGACGGCTACACGACGCTGTCGTGCCACATCTTGTGCATCTGAGGGCCTCTCCCCTCCGGCTGTCGCCGGGACAAGTGGGCGCTTTTAGGCTCCAGGATCAGGCGGCCTAAAGGCGCCGCGACCGCGGGACTTCCGGGACCCCAGGACCCACATTTCCCATAGTGCTCCGGGAAGCCGGGCGCGCCGGCTCGCGCGGGGGCTCCTGGGAGTTGTAGTCCGGCCCTGCGGCGCGGGCGCCGCTGCGGGCTGGGCGCCGGCCTTTGTTTGTCTGCGGGCGCGCGCCGCTGCGGTGAGTGAGTTCGCCGGCCGGCCAGTGCGCCCG